TTCTATAGAACCCTCTGATGCATTTGTTGCAGAAGTTGGAAAGTGAGTAGTGAATGAGGCAGGGATTACAGGAAGAAAAAGATAGGTCTCATAATTAAGGCATTTGAATGCCACCCTGGAAAACAGATTTCTAGCCCTGTCTCTGCCACAGAATTCTTGTGTGGTGCTAAACAAGGCACTTAAACCACATTTTTCACAGGTGGTCATTAATTCCATGTTCATTCTTTTCCGGGTGCCCAATTTGAGACCCTGAGGCTTGACTTGAGGTTTTGAGCACTCAGCTGCAACTGAAGACAGTGGAAGTTGCGTTTTGATCATATTAAGTGCTGAAAAATAATAACTCAGATTGGTATCTCTGTCCTTAGTCTCATAGAATCATAGAACTGGAAGAGATCTCAGAAGGTCATCAAGTCCAGCCCCCTGCTCTAGGCAGGACCAATTCCAACTAAATCAACCCAGCCAGGACTTTGTCAAGCCGAGACTTAAACACCTCTAGGGATGGAGACTCCACTACTTCCCTAAGTAACCCATTCCAGTGCTTCACCACACTCCTAGTGAAATCGTTTTTCTTCCCTATGCCTCAGTTCTTCCACTACATCTCACCAGGGTGTTGTGAAGCATCAGTGCCATACAAAAGCCTATGAAAAAATTAATAATTCTGTCTTCAGAGCAGAGTTTCAATTGAGAATAAATCAAAATATTGATCATTAAGTAGGCACTGCCATCCTATGCACTAAACGATGCAGGGAAAATAGTATGTGATTGTTTAATTAAAGATTGCATCATAATATTATGCATTAACCTAAGTAATTATAGTGGAGTAAAATCACTTTTATTCCAGAACAGAGTGTTTGCCTGAGAAATTATACCAGCATAGCTATAGCAGTATAATTATACCGCTGTGTGCCACAGGTCTATTTCCCTATAGCAGAGGTGGGCAAGAGGCAGCTAGCAGGGTGACTGCAGAGCTGCTGGCTAGGAGCAGCCTAGGTAAGCACCTCCCTGCCAGAGCCTGCGTCTGGCACCCCACCCCTTGTCTTCCCCCCAACTACCTGCTCCAGGCCACCACCCATCTGTATCCCCTCTCCTCACCCCCTCCAGTTAACAACCCCTTCCCAGACCCTGTGCCCCCTCCAACACCCCTCTCCCAGGCCAGAATCCTCTCCTGTACCTATACCCCTCCCTGATCCTGCACCCCATTCCCCAGTCCCACATCAACACCCAAACTCTCTGCACCCTCTTTGCCCCCTTCTCTCAGGTCACAACTCACAAGGTTAGCTCGTTTTATCAATAAAAAAGAGATATGCACGGTGGTGGCTCCCCACCTCAGTAACACTTGTTTAAACAGGACTTGATAATAAACAAAAGTGTTTTTATTAAGTACAGAGAGTGTGATTTAAGTGGTTGCAAATGAAAACAGTCAGATCAAAGTAAGTTACCAAATTAAAATAAATAGAAAAATGCACGGCTAATTCTAAGCCACTAACAAACTTGTTACATACAAATTCTTACTTTAAATAGCTGTTCTTATTTCAGGTAAAAGAACATCAAATCAGAATTGATTTTTACTCTGACTTGGGTCTACAGCTTCTGCAGAGTTCTTTGTCTCCTCTAGAGTGTATCAGGTAGTTTCAAAAGCCAGCTAAAGACAAGGGCTGATTGCTTCCCGTTGTTTAAACCAGTGGTCCCCAACGTGGTGCCCGCTGGGGCATTTATGTGCGCCCGCCGAAGCATCTGGGCAGGCCCCGCCCCCGGCGCGCAGCACATGCGTATTGCCAGCCCCGGGCACGTGGCGCATGGGCGGCCCCTGCCCCGGGCACGCGGCACATGCGCGGTGCCAGCCCTGGGCTCAGGGCGCGTGGGCGGTCCCCACCCCCAGGTGCACGGCACATGCATGGCCCCACCCCTGGAAGCGCGGCGCATGAGCGGCCCCACCCCTGGACACCTGGCAGCCACGAAAAGTTGGGGACCACTGGTTTAAACAGACTTTTCCCCAGGGTGGGAATCCTTTGTTTCGCATTCCCAATCCCCATGGAAAATTACCAGGACCAGGATGGATTTCAGTACCAGGTGCTATGGTCACTTGTCTTTCTGGGACCAGCCATAGTCCGGGTTCACAGGACAAGCAAAGCTATTCACAACAAGTAGCTCTGTAACACCTAAGAGACTAACAAGATTGGATGGATGGATGGATAGATGGATAGATGGATAGATAGATGAAAACTCACTTCCTCAGATGAGCAGAATGCAAAGAAAAGCTATTCACAGGTCATCAATTTGATCTCTGAGTCATTAAGTTTCCGGAGCACCAGTAATGGCCCTCATTAACTCATTTAGAACTATAAACAGATCCATACTTTATATTTTTAACTTCACATACAAGAACGATACAGTCATAAAAACAGGGTATACAGATCCATCCAATTGTAACATGAAAATTGGTAGGTTACATAAGGTATTCTTTCTAAAGCATCTTCGAGTTATGCATATGCATATTCACAAGCCAGTTCTCAGAAGGCATTGGGGGAGAGGGGCGTCACGCATGCTTCCATCAAGAGAAAGAATTTATACAGGCTATGACAGAGGATTTGCAAGGCTCAGTACCATTTGCCATGATGTGCAACTGTACTATCCTTTAGGTCAGGTTCAGATTACACTGGATCCTACTGTGACAGAATGATGAGTATAGAACGGCTGCCTTAAATTACATAGTGTTTGTACCCATTGTGCAAGTCATCACAGAGAGTTCAGAAGGGCTATTCAGGAAGCAATATCCAAGTACGTAGAATCCAGCCTTAAAGATTGTAAACTGCTTTGTTGTTAAGCCTCAGAGGGGTGGCCATGTTAGTCTGTGTCTGCAAAAACAACGAGGAGTCCTATGGCACCTTAAAGACTAACAGCTTAAGCCCAAATAAATCTTAGTCTTTAAAGTGCCACCCAGGTTCCTTGTTGTTGTTGTTGGCTTTTTTTTTTTTTTTTTGAGGGATTTCCATATTTTATAGGGTGACTTGTCTATTCTGAAGACACAAATCCTAACACTATACAGACTAACTGCTGGGTTCAAAGTTTAGCTCTTGTATCAAGCACCAGCTATCTCTTCCTGTCTGTTCAAATGGCTTTATGTGAGCCATAAACATTTCCTAATGCACAATATGTTGTGAATCATTATTTATGAACCAACAAAGGAGAGCTGTTTGACTCTTTGGGTTCAGTTTCTGTTGGGCAGTTGCTACACCATTGCAGTACAATTTCAACAGATCTAAAAGTGCACACGTTGGCAATATAATTTTGAAGTTCAACAAGGAACAAAGGGTGGGTCTCGCAATCCCACATTCACCCAAGTAATCTACTCAGGATAGTAGGATTTATCAGAGTAATGATTATGCTAGTCTCCATATTGGGGAACATTGTTTTATTATCGGTTTGGACCTGACTTTTTTATACTTTATGTAAGATACAAATGCATCTTAGAGCCTGTATACATATCAGTAATTTCATTGACTTTAGTAGGCCTGCTCCCCTAAGTGAGGGTTACTCATATCTGCGAAGGCTTTAGCCCCTAGATAATCCACTGAAAATGTATTTAAATAGATAAATGAAGCTAAGTAAAATAAAAAATGTGTGATTTAAATGATATAGCACAGTATAGGCTAGGAAAATGCATTCATATAGTAACACAAGTGTAAATTATAATAGAAAGAACAACACTGAGTTAGTGTAAAAAGTCATCACTGTTTGACGATGTAGGACGGTATCATTTCAAATCTTTATTAATGTGAGGTTGAGCAACAGCAAAGAGAAATATGACCTATTGTTTTACTCTTTCTCTCTTAGCAGATTCAGCTACTATAGGAGAAGCATAAGATCTTTTTAAAAACTTGTTATTGAACTTTTTTTTAAATGACTGACATTCATTCTAAACTTTTGAAAGACATGACTGTCCAGGATTTATGTCCACAAGCGGCTGACAGTCTGGCCAAGCCCTTGGGCAAGGCAGAGAAAACCCTGCTTCACACCCCAGAAGGGTTAGCTAGGGCTGGGGCAGGGCAACCCTCAGCACCACCCAGAGAGTGCCATGCCTCCCTCAACAGCCCTCAAGGCTGCCCAGAGTATGTGTGAGTGGTGCTTCAGAAGTGATTTAAAGGGCCAGGAGCTCTGGGTCCTTTTATATCGTCGAGCTCTGGGGCATTTACATCTTTGCCCCCTCCCATTGGCAGGCTTGATTTCAACTGTTAGTATTACAAATATTTTATACAGAATATGCTGACATCCTACTTTTATACTGAAAAGCCATATATACAAAAGATAGCTTAAAGGCCAAGATACATATGTTGATATTCATAGGCTTTTACCAAGTAAACAAAAGAAAACAAAAATCACTCACCAGGTAAAATACCAGAAGATAGAATAGATCAGATCCACAGAGCTTAAACATCTTGATGATTTCTTTTATTTTGACTCCTGCAAATGATTATATAATAGTTTACCATTCATTCATCTTAGTCCATCAGAATTAACCCAAACTTTTAAAACCTGGGTGCCAAAAGCTAAGCTCCCAAATCCATATATAGGCACCTAAAATAAAGTCTCTTGCATTTCAAAAGGACTGAGCCCTCATAGCTTTTCTACGTGCTTACATTTAAGGTCGCTGTTCAGGAGCCCATTATAAGGAAGTCAGCTCTGAAACCTGTGGGCTCAGTTGTGTGAATCGTTTCCTGTCATTAATCTAACGGGAAATTCTCTTCTCCTTGGGTTAGAAAACTTCACCTACAGGCCTAGAGTGATTCTGGCACATCCTGAAAGTTAATGCTGCAAAAAGCAGTGGCAGCCTCCTCCCTGATAATCCATGTTGTAGTCAGGAGTGCTCAGCAGCTCTGCCTCTTGGCTCTCCCCCATTCCCCAGCACACAACCTTAAACTACCCAGCCACAGAGGGGGGAAGAACATATTGTGGAATCAGAGAGTCCCTTCTTTTAGGGCTTTTCATCCTATTTAACTCCTTCTTTCTTCACCACAACTCACAGGAGAAGAGAGTTCCTGGACTTGTGCATGTGAATTATATAATTATTACACAGCACTGGAGCCCAGCACTCTTCCATGGACGGCTGCATTTGTTTCACTGCCCCCAATCTAGGCTATGCATGAGGAGCTTGATTTAGCCCTCCCAGCAGGCATTAGTGATACAAGTAATTCAGCTGTGCTTAGGGGGGCTATTTGCATGAACAAGACCTAACTGAAGAGGCATAGAAAGACAGCATTCCACTGAAAGTAGCAGGAAGCAGTTAGTAAGACAAACAAAGAATTAGCAGCTTCTGCTGATACCATTATTGGACCTAACCAAGTGAGTTATAAGATCAAGAACACATATTCCTGCGCATCCAGAAATATAATCTATGCTATCATGTGCCGAAAGTGTCCGTCTGCTATGTACATTGGACAAACATCTCAGACACTTCGCCAAAGGATTAATGCCCACAAAACAGATATCAGACAAGATCACAAAGAAAAAACAGTTTCTTGCCATTTTAACCAGAAAGGACACTCTCTCAATGACTTAACCACCTGCATTCTGCTACAAAGACCTTTTACATCTGCACTTGAAAGGGAATCCTCTGAACTGTCATTCATGTTAAAATTCGACACTCTCCGAGAAGGAATGAACAAACACTCAAACTATCTTACCCATTACCGTTGTTGTTAACGGTTCTAAATCCTGCTGGAAAGGGATAACAAGTGGAGTTCCTCAAGGGTCTGTTTTGGGACCCGTACTGTTCAATATCTTCATCAATGATGTAGATATTGGGATAGAGAGTACGCTTATTAAGTTTGCAGATGATACCAAACTGGGTGGGATTGCAACTTCTTTGGAGGATAGGGACATAATTCAAAATGACCTTAGCAAGTTAGAGAAATGGTCAGAGGTAAACAGGATGAAGATTAATAAAGAGAAATACAAAGTGCTCTTTTTTTAATTGTATCCTTTGGTATATATTTTTTTCCACTATTTGATCTGAGGAAGTGGGTCTGGCCCATGAAAGCTCATCATCTAATAAACCATCTTGTTAGTCTTTAAAGTGCTACATTGTCCTGCATTTTGCTTCAGCTTCAGGGGGTAGTCAAGTTAGTCTGTTACAGAAAAAACAGCAAATGGTCTGGTAACACTCTATAGACTAATGAAACATGTAGATCATATCATGAGCTTTCGTGGGCATAGCCCAGTTTGCCAGGAAACAGGATTACATCCCACCCAGTTGTCAGGTGTCAATTCTCCTGACAAAAGGATAAGTGAGGAAGGTGACTCACTATTGCATGTGGGGCAAGAGGGCCTGGGGTGTGGACTGAGCAATACTGACAGAGAAACCTAGGAGCAGCCAAACCTGGAAAGATAGTTTCATCTGTGATAGTAGAGTAAGTTGGCAAAAGCATCCACCCGCACAGCAAGTTACATGTATCTTTGTCCACTATCCCAGCTTGATTGAGAAACACAGTCTTGTGAGGGTTTGTTAAGTTACAATTTGGGGAAGGCCTATTTTTTCCAAATTTAATATAATTCCCTATAAAAAATATTTAGAAAATGAACCACTGTAACAGTTGATAAAACCTAGAACAGAGGTTTGATCAGTGCTAATTTCTCACAATAACCTTGCACACTGTGAGGTGAAACCCGTATTTCTCAGGTGGCTAAAGGTTCTTACCAGATCTCTTACACACCAGTATTCCCAGGGGTCAGAAGCTTCTGAAAGGAACAACCTCCTGATGCCCAGGAAACCTCAAGACTCATGAGTCCAACTGATTCAATTCCAGCTGATGAGAATGCAAAACCCACTGAGACCCAGAAAAGGGTTTTAACTAGCAAACCTGATCAGCTTAGGGTTAAGCAGGAGGAGCAATATCTACCTAAGCTCTTTCTACCACACACATACAAATTGAGTGTTTGACAGCTGATATCCAGGCTGAGGGTTGAACCAATTCATTGTCCCCTGCTTCTCTTTTCCTAACTTGTTTATAGATCCCTAATTATCTTTTTATGGATTCTTTGTCTAAAACCACTTAAAAATGAAATCTATAGGACTCTAGGATATCCTATATGCAAATATACAAACAACTTTTGGTAATAAACACTCTGTGGGGATAGTACATATTTGTAGACGAAGAGTTAAAAGTACCTGGTTAGATGAACAGTTTAAAAAAATATTTTAAATGCCTGCTTTATATATTTTTGTTTTAGAGATTCAAGTTTTAAGGTATAAACCACATTGTCTTGAAGCAGAAAATTAATCTGCGTCAGATACAAACCACTCTTATCACTGGCAATACAACCATTGCTTTTCCAAGAAAAGGAATATGTGGGCCATCATGTTGCTAACATCACCAAAAACCCAACTCTCTTGCTTCAGCACTTAAAATGTTTTCAAAGAAATGTATGTTAGATCAGCCCTTACCTTTAGTAAGAAAATGTTGTTTCTGTAAAATACATTTCCTTCCTTAAGCCTTTGGAATCACCTGCCGCAGTTAATGTCTGTTTGCGTATCTCTGTACAGTTTATGGTTTCTCAGATTCTTCCTACAAGTTGGGTGAAACATTAACTACATTGATTGATTATTGATCCATAATGACTAGGCGTGGCATGCAATGCCAGCTACGAAAGGAAGTAGCATAGCCATGAAATAACATACTCCTCTTTGAGCATTTTTCTTTACCTTTGGATTTTCAAACTGAACTCCACTTTTGAATAAGAGTTCAAGGAGCTAAGGCTAACTAGTTGCATAGATAGGAAGGATTTCTCCTCTCAGCCTCTATCCGTAAGAGAGGCATCAGAAAGGCCAGGGCAAAAGGCACTGTCCTGGCCTGTCTCTGTCATTTTGTGAGTAACGCTGATGACTCAAAATCAGAAGACACGAACTCGAACATGAAGATGACTTGTCTTTGTGCCTGTTGATCAATGTCAATTGGAAGAGAATCTGTTCACTGGGAATAGTGCACCGGACTGGGACTTTGGATATTTGGGTTCAGTTCTTAGCTCTGCCACAGATTTCCAGGGGCTTGATTTTGGGCGAGTCATTTACTTCCATGTGGAACTGGGGATAATATTTATTTCCTCTCACCTTTTGCCTTTCATGGCTGTGTAGCTTATAAGTTTTTCCAGTCAAGAAATATCATTTACTTTTCGTATGTACAATGTCTCATACAATGACGTGCTGAGTTCAGTTTGGGCTTCTAGCTATTACTGCAATACAAATAAAATAATACATCAAATAGCCTTGAAACTTCACTCAGGAAGAACAGCAGTTTTTAAATTCTATCATGTTTAAATTCTATCATGTGTTCCTGGGTTCTTTTTATTCTAATTTCTTAATTTGCTTTTCATTTCATATATTTTGAGTCTACAGTAGTTTTACTTTCTTATCCAATATTTTAAAACAAATATGCAGATGTTAACCCTTATCTAGATTTTAAACTTCTAGCTTACCTTTGCTAAATATCCTAACCTTCTCTTTCTTGTTGCTTTATCATTTCTGTAATGCCTGAAACATTTCCTGAGTTCCTATTGCATGTTTTCAAAAAATAAATTTTAAATGAATTGTAACTTTATAGTGTACAGTGCTATAAAATATTAGTTTTCTGTTTGGACTCCAGATCACACTCTCAACCTGACATTAATATGTTATGTAAGTGGGACAAATCCATTACTGATGCAAATGGTTTGAAGTCAAATGTCTTACACCAAGTTTTAGTGTTTTTTATTGCAGTCACAAGTGAATAAAGCAGTACAGTTATGTTCAGTATACTGCATTATATGTCAAAACAATAAAGTCTCGTAAAAGCAAAAGACTGATTATCCAAATTAATTCACTTTTATGATCATACAAAATCAGAAAAACGGTTGAATTAACTGGTGTAAATGAGAGTCAGCTTTGGCCCTAGAATTCTAAGATGCTTATTAAGAGCTACAAGTTGATGCTATTCCAGAGGCTTAAGTTGCAAATTCTGTTTAACCAAATGCATCCGTGACAGCTTAGAATAATGTTCATTGTTGGTTGTGATGTACTTTTTAGATGTCATGGCATCTTGCCAGGAAAGTGTTCACCCCCTTTGTCTTTCTCAGACTGGTTTAATTTCTTGGGTGCAAAGTACTGCCTCCTTGTTGTACCCACATAAGAAAAAAATGTCACAATGTCAACAACATTACAAAGTCCAGAGCACCTATGGCTTTTTAGCAGTCATATAACATGGTGCTACAGATTAAATTGCAACAAGGAGAAACTCGGTACAGAGGGTGATTTCTTGATCCAGCTGTTTCTTTCAGCAAATGTGATGAAAAAAAAGCCAAGCGTTCAGGTATTTATGATGTGATTCATTGTTAAGTGAGTCAGTTTTTCCAGAGACAGCACTTCCCACCTCTTTGCTCATATCCTCCTCACCCTATCCATTTCTCACCGTTGACGTTTCTCCCACTCCTCTACTTCTCTTTTGCTGTTCTGTTTTCTTTTTTAATTTTACTCATCTCCTCGGTGAAGTTGATATCATTGTGGTACATATTCCTCTTGCATAATTGGATGGACCTCTATAGCCACAGCATTGTTTCCTGTCTGATTATTGTTACTTTTCTGAAACCTTTTCAAAATGTGTTGTGGAGCATACTTCTTTTATAGTAGCATCATCATGATTTGCAGTGAGCCAGTACCAAAGAAGGAGTTGATAGACTTTAGTTAATCTTATTATCCATGTAGGTTGTCATGTAATGGAGCCAAATAATTCTTTTGGAATAAATAGTGCATGTTCCAGTGACTGCTGTTATTTACACTGTTTATTGTAAGAGTGCCAAAAGAGATTAAAAGCTTGTGTTTCCGACTGAAGTTGCACAGAACAGCAGCACTGTGCTTTAGAGAAATTCATATTCTTGAAACATTCTTGCGACCCCTGTCTACCTCTAGTCCGGAATTGGAGGGACATATGCTATCAAAAGTCTCAGAGGGGTAGCTGTGTTAGTCTGTAACTTTAAATACAATAAACTGTCTATTTCTAAGTTTATTACCGTCTTATATTTCCAAACCATGATATTTTTCATTCCTAAAAAAGCTGGAGAGGCAGCTTTTTGCAATTATTGGGCATTTTTCATTTATCATCTCCAAATGTTGTGAGATTCAAAACGGATCATGAAACAATACAGCATCAGAACAAAATAGAGGGGCAGTTTCTGCTTCCAGTTACATGGGGTTAAACCTGGTTAGAAAGCAGAGAAATTATATTATAACCAGAAATGATGTAGTGAAGTGAGATTGGCATGTTTATATTTAATTGATTATGATAATGTGTGCCGGTTAAAATGAAAGGGCTGTGAAGCGTTTTCTCCTTATGGTTAAACACATTGCCAATCATTCTAAGTTACTTTGAATTATTAATTTAAAATGGTTAAGAAGATAAGGAATATCTCACAAATATAGCATTCTCATCTGCAACACTATCTAGATATATTGCTCCGTGAGCCTGATTATATGAATGCAAAATAGTTCCCTAGGACTTGGTGTGAAACTGCTAATGAACCACAGTGTAAACAAATACATCGCCTTCTAACATTGCTTCCATGCCTGCTTTTTAAGAGCCTAATGGGTGCTCAAGGAGTTCAGCACTTTGTAGGATCATGCCTTAATTGTTTTTCAAGGAATTAAACTTTGTCAGAGGGTATGTCTACACTACAGAGTTTTGTCAGAAAAAAAGCCATTTTTCCAACAAAACTTGAAGAACATCCACACTGCAATTGCATTCTTTTGATAGTAAATCAAAAGAACAGAGGGCTTTTTCTGACGGTGGTAATCCTCATTCTACGAGGAAGAAGCGTTTTTGCAAAAGAGTTCTTTCACAAAAAGGTGTATGTGGACGGGGAGGAGGGGGGTTTTTTGTTTGTTTTTTAGGGTTTTTTTTTTTTTTTTTCGAAAGAAGAGGCCTCCAGGAAAAAGCACAAGTGCCCTGGTGGACACTGCTTACAAAGTAATCACAACTCTATAGTTCCTGTTTCCTGTCCCCTCTTAAAGCTGCAGGCACCCTGGACAAGCCTAGTGGTAGAAAGCCGGTCAGACAGCAGCACCCTGACCACATGGTTCTCCCTGCCACAGGCCTTGCAAGCCATGTCTGCACCTCAAGCCCCCCACGTCCGCGTTGGCCCTCGCCAGGAGCAGCCCCAGCAACTGGTAGCTGTCGAGGTGGCGAGCTTCCAGAGGGCGATGGCGACCTGCTTCTCCAGGTTGATGGCAGGCCACAGGTGGGTGTGATGTCACTGGAGGGCAGAAACGAGCCAGGCACACAGCTCCAAAAAGGTGTCTTTCCGCATGCAGGAGTTTTGGCACCACTGCTGGTTGTCCCACCTCTCCGGTCCTACCAGAGACCTCCAGAAACGCCTCTGCACTGTGGGGTGCGGTTGCCAGAGTGGAGCAACCACAGCCACAGAGAGGGTCCCCAGAATGAACTTGGGGTTCTGGTCATACAGGATCAGGAAGGCAACTGGAAAAAAAGTACTGCAAAAACTGCTTTTTCGCTTTTTCAATGGGTTTTTGTGTGTGAATGCACGCTTTCGCAAGAAGTTTTTTCAGAAGATCTCTTCCGAAAAAAGCTTCTTGCAAAAGAAGCCTGCAGTCTAAACATAGACAGATTGTCTCCCTGTTTGCAAACATGTGGCTCAGTCCCGTGAGCACTGACTAGTGGGATCAACACAGTCTTTAGATCACAGGTATTTGTAGGATCAGGCCCATGTGCTTTATGTTCTAACCACATGGGACAGCTTTATGGTAAGCTAAGAAACAGTTTATAAAACCTCAGTTTGTGACTTTCTAACGTGTCATGGTACCTGTAAAAACCACGCCATGCCAACAGACAGAACCACTGAGACCTTACCCAGTTCCACAAAGGACTTATGAGAAGGTCGGCAGTGAGTTGACTTGTTTGCCTGGCAATCAAAGTATTATTTAATCATCACAGATTATTCTCTGTATCCAGAAATTTGTACACTGCACAGTACTAACAGTCAGTCAATGAAGCATTTAGAATGTTGTCTCCCTCCTGGCCTCACTGAAGTAAATAGTAAAACTATTGGAGGGGGGAGGAGGTGGAAGTTCAATTGTCGCCCATGAGATTATGCACTGGATTTTCAGTGCTCCATCGCATTCTGACATGCACTTTTTGATGAAGCGATAGCACCACAGAATTTCTACACGTACCAGAAGTTATAAATACACTGACATGACTGCCTCTTAAAGAGTCATTTATACTGAAAATAAAATTACCTAAATGCTAAAAATAAATAGTTTAAAATAAAGGAAGTGTGTTGCCTCAGTCAGTCAATTACTATCGATATTATGGTGTGACTCAAATGGTATGTGGTTCAGGTTTGTTTATTATTAAGTACACTCCCATGGTTTTATTGTCATAGCTTCCTCATCTAACAGTCAACTGTTGCTCCAGAGCAGTTAAAAATATGTGAGTGGATGGTATGTTGAGCTTCAGTAGTATAGGACAAAAAGCCATTCGTTTCAGGACACTCTAAATGTGACTCTAAGGAGGA